AGTCTCTCCACAAGTGTGAATTCGCAGAGCACCACTCGAAGAAAGATGGTCACAGGTATGTAACCTACCAGTTATAGGGATTTCAGTAGCACAGTGGGCTAAACCACTGAGCTGCAGAACTTGCTAATCAGAAGGTTGGTGGTTTGAATCTGTGGACGTGGGGAGCTCCCGTTGTTAGCCCCAGCTTTTGCCAACCTAGCAGTTTGAAAACATGCAAATGTGAGTAGGTCAATAGGTACCGCTTTGGTAGGAAGGTAACGGTACTCCATGCAGTCATGCTGGCCACATGTCCTAGGTGGTATCTATGGACAATGTCGGCTCTTCGGCTTAGAAATGGAGATGAGCACCACCCCCCAGAGTTGACTAGACTTAATGTCAAGGGGAAACCTTTACCTTGTTAAGGTTATTTCTTATAAAAAATGGATAATTTGCTGTATAGTTGGGAATATGAACACGGAAAATGATACTGGATTGTGATTAGGACGATGAGACGACGCTGAATGGTTTTCGTAGTAATGACGATGTTTTGTATAATGCTGGATTGTGAATTGTGTTTTTATACTGTGTCTTGAATTTTGTTCTTCCTATGTTGTACACCGCTGTGAGTCGCCCCCGGGCTGAGAACAGCGGTATAGAAGCAAAGTAAATAAATAAATAAATAAATAATGAGGAAAAGAAAGATACCAATAATATTACTATAAGGCTGTGGAGACTGAGAGGTTACAGGCATTCATAACCTTATATTAACAGTATATTTATTGAGAGCAGCTACGTGATTGCTCTATCTGTGGTGAAGAAGAATAAAGACAGAAAGCTATGCCTACTTGCTTTGGTCCAGTTCTGTTGCTCCCAGTGATGTCAAGTGCCAATATATGTTAAGTCAATGTCTGGAATTCTGTTGGGCAGTGTAACCTAAAGTTGTGCATTCCTGAGTGTTTCCTGAGTGTTTTGTATATATGATTCCAATCTCCACTTGGGTGGGAAAAGATCCTGTGACTGAGGATGGTTTATTCACTGTCAATTGGGAAGCGGATGGCTAATGTTCTCATCCACACCCTCAACCACCATGGGGGAGAGGGGATTGTGACAGGGACCTTGCTTCTGCTTGTTACACTAGATATCACTCACACATAAGTCAGCCGCTTCCTAGTTGACAAGGGAACAGGTTCCCACCCTCCAGCAATCATAGCTGCTGCTTCTCAGCAAGTGGGCATTGAAGAGATAAGGAGAGATGAGATGACACTTAGCACAGCACTACAACGACAGTTTACATTAATCTGCAACAGAATTCTGTCCACAATTTTGATGTGGCTTTGCTATTGTCCCTAGCATACAGAGTTTGCAGTCATAATTAGGGAGTGCATTTAAAAACCTTGAACTATATGATCTTATAAGACAGTGCTCACACTATGGTCTGATCTGAGGGTATCCTTTCTTCTCCCATTGTCATCCCCAGTTTGACATCACATTTTTCAGGGCTCTTCACAAAACAAAATTTCTGTAGACTTGTGCCCCACCATCAGAAGCAATCAGACCTTTTCTGGCTCTGGCACGTATAAGAGGTTACCATTGGAGTCGCTTCCCTACAAGTGTTACTGATGCTAGTAATTCTGAAGAGCCATCTATAGTTGTTACATAACAGAGCGCAGGGTTACAACATGACCATACAAAGTAGCTTGTGGATAAAGTCAGACAGGGAAAATATCTATTTTCCTGGCACCAGATCTCTAGCCTTTTGTGTAGTAGGAAGAAAAACTTACAAGCAGCCATGGGTCAGAGTCTCTAAGGAACAGAAGCAAAAATGACAAAAATGTACTTTTATGAGAGAAAATCAATCCCTCACCACAATTACTTGAAGACAGGAGGCTAGAACACTGACTGGCGTGATTTTAAAGAAATGAAGTATTTTACATGCATCTAGGTTAGGCATAAGGAGAATACAGCCCATGGATCACATGCAGCCACCTGAGCTCCAGTTCTGCACCCCCAAGACCTCTCCAGAAACTCCCAAACCCTAGCCAAAATTTGGGAGGAAAGTGACAGCTTGTCTTCAGTGAGTTTTACATCTGAAAACAAGCTCAATTTGACCCAAACTGCCTGAAAACGTGGTGGTTTCTTCTACTTCCCCACTGAAAAATCTCCAAAATTTCCTTAATTCAAAGTAGCCATACAGTGAGCAGAAAGCACAGAAAAGGTATCCAGAAATGCACCCAGGGCACACATATGTGGCCCACAGAGAACCCAGAGCAAAACAAACCCTAATCTCACACAATTGCTCTCTGCGCTATAGGTGTTTTGACACAGCTTGACTCTGAACAAGGAAGAAGCTACAATTTGGGCCTTAAAACTGTTGTGAAAACTTTGTTTTAAATATATATATATCAGCAATATAAACTGGGCAACAGCCACAATTACAACCAATTTAATGAGAGTTTTAATACCCTTGGCTGAGAATACAACCAAGTTTTGACAATCCATTTCTTTCTCTCTCTTTTTTTAAAATCCTGTTTAAATAACAATACATCTCTTGAAAGACTTGAATAATACAAGGTATTTATTAACTAAAGTAAATCTAACCTGCTCTTCCAATAGTTCCTGCCATAAGATATTGATCTCTTGTAGTTTGAGCCACCGCTCTTCAGTCCAACGACAAACTGCTGTCCAACGTTCACCAAGCCTCTGGAAAAAAATAACAAAATATATTTCTGAACCTATATATTTTCCCCAAGTTGATGGGAAATCCAAATGCATAGAAATATAATTATTTTAACCTGATTTTATATTAATCATCATATAGACTTTTGGGCTTTCTTCCTGTAGTAAAGAATAGGGAAAGATTTGAAAAATCTGAAGCATTCAAGTGCAATGGTTTCTTGGAAGTAACTATAAAGTCCCTATTTCAGACAAAAAATATATTTCAGGGTTAATAACTTACATTTAACTCCATATATACGATACATTATACTGTCCACAAATCAGTTCAAACAAAATCTCAGTTTCTACTATGATGGCTTTCAAAATTCCAGGTTGTATTTGCTGATGGTGAAAATACAGGATCAATGAGACAATGGTACTTCTATCATATCAGAAATCCCATGTTTGCTTAGACATTTGAAATTATTTTGGTGAATTAATCCATTACAACCAATTCACTCATGAGAAAAACACCCCAATAAACACTGTATTCTGTTCACCACAAGCATTCACCCAAATGAACCTGCCCAAAGTATGTGAAAGTGGCTAATATGAGAGATGGTAACAAAACAAGAAATCCAAGCTTCTAGAAATCCTTGAAATAAAAGGGGGGGATTCATAACTGAGATGGTTAGCAAAATCACATATCTATTACCTATTGAACAAGACTAATCACAAAACCATAAAAACTAAAGGGTAGAATAGTACCACATTGTGACCTTCACCCACCTGCAGTTGTTCCTCTAAGACAGCTGTTGCACTCTCCCCACTGTTTTCATCAACAATGACCACCATGTGAGTCAGAGAGTTAACTTTAACTTGCTCAGTTTCGAGATCATTTTGAAGCTCCTGAAAATGACAACCATCAGAAGTGACATTACAGAGTATTGTTCTTGCATTTCATTCAATGCTTGGGGGTGTTTTTTTATATCTTTCAGTAAATGTTCTTCTAATCAGCCAAGACAGTTTAAATATAACCTTCTAACCCATGTACATCTAGGCTGGCAACTGGAGGGGCAATCTCCCTTACAATGTGATGTGTAGTAATTACATTGCTCCTATGCCCAATACTTGAACAGGGGCAAGTGGACAGAAGCCAAATCCAGCTGCCTTGGGAGTGTGGCAAGCTGGAAGCCACTGGCTGCTTCAGCTGCTTAATTCTAATAGAAAAGAAATTAGAACAGCAAACTGTGTTGAAATGTTCAATCAATTAAAATTACTGATGGTTTGAGGATAATGCAGATATGCCATTTGGAATGATGACTCCCAAACCTGCCTCCAGCCAAAACAGTCAGCCATGAGATATACATGTCTCTGAAACTCTATCCTTCCATTTGCATTTCACATATTTCAATCAGACTGAAATATTTTAATCAATTCCACCTAATATTTTGTGTGCATCCACTATATCCCTCCTCACAAGTGATAACTATCTTGTTCTACAAAACTAGCCCAATGAAAATGATTGCTAAGAGCTCAGGAATGGTAAAGGGGGCAGAACATTTTTTTCCATCTGGCTATATTTCAAGTATTATGAAAATGCAGTTTCCTTCCAAATGAAAAAAGAATGCAATACAATAACAAGATGACTGAGTGAAAAATCTCACAGGCTACATCCAAATATTTTAGCAAATAGGCCTTTCCAAAAAATAATTCAATTTGGCTGAAATAACATGACTTGAGAGGCTTGATTCTTATTTTAAAATACATGCTTCTATTTTAATACTTCCAGTATAGCTGCAACATGAAACTTTGCTATTTAGAGGCTTTTCCCTCCCTATCATATACATTACAAGTAGTAGTAAAAATACTTTATGTTCATCTATCTGCTGTTGGAAGGTCTTCAAGTCTCCCATGAAGCCCTGAGATTCCATCTTCTGAATGCGTTCTTCTGTCTCACTCAACCAGTCAGACAGTTGCTGCAGTTGCTTCTTCTGTCTTTCCATCAATACATCATGGAGGCTGCAGATACCAAAAACAACAAAGTTAATTCTAGCAGCACTGTAAATAAACAAAATGTCCTTAAAAGGAACTTATGCGAATTTATACAGAGGTAAATTCCACTGTCTTCAATCAGGCTTCCTCTTACATGGATTGTCCATAGGCTGCAGGCCTATAGAACAGGCCAAGAGAACTCAGAGGGTCTTATTTCTGGAAAAATACACAAAGTGCATACATTTATCAGCCTGATTAACTCAAAACGGATTAACTAAATCTCACTGAACTCAAATATGACTAGGACATCTCTGGGTTTCATTGGATTAAATCCAACCATGTCTGTGGCATCATAAAATAGGCATAGCTGGCAGAATAGACAATCACCCTCCCAATCCTAAACTATTCCATAAAGTCAAAGAACACTCTAGAACAAATATGATGATGATGTAAAGAGAGGAAATCAATGAAAAAAGGTGATTAGACAATCACTTGAACAACACTGGATGGAATCCTACTGTTTTTAAAAAGTATAAATTCACTAAATTCTGGTTTTTTTTAAAAAAAAAAAAAGAAAATCTCATACATTTCTTAATTCTATTGAATTGAAACTCCCAATTGGGCCATCAGGGCCTACTCCAGTGTAAGTTCTTTCAGGAGACAATATGGAAGTACAGGCAGTCCCCAAGTTATGAACAAGATGGGTTCTGTAGGTTTGTTCTTAAGTTGAATTTGTATATAAGTAGGAATACGGACATTTTTTAAGTGTAACTCTGGCCAAAAATGTATGTATTTTAATATTTTAACATCCTGATTAGACAGCATAGGGAAGGGTTAATACCCCTATAGCAATTGTTTTGCTGTCTGTTTTCCTGTTAGGAAGAATTCACCTCACTTTCTATCACTATGGTAATGATTTTGAAAACTTTGGCTTGTTCTAGAAACAAGGTTTGGTGATAAAGCTTCAGTGGAAACACCTTTTCCCCCATGATAACTCTTTCAGGAGTGAATTTACCTTCCAAGGAGTAGATTTATCTCATTTCCTGTTGTCTCACCCCCGTTCTTAACTATAAGTGGTTTTAGGTCAGATGTTTGTAACTCTAGGACTGCCTGTATTTGTGTTTTAGATTCAAAAAAGAAGTCGAAGGAATTCTCTTCCACATTTTTGTTGTTCATTCATACAGTCGTTTCAGACTCTTAGTGACCTCATGGACCACGTTAAGTTTTCTAATAATCTAGGAACTTAACTTCATTATAGCTCTTCTCTTTAACTTATGTAGTTTGGCTCTGGTGGTTAAGCTATATTGCTTGCCGTGCCAAGTCTCATCTTCTCCACTCTCTTTGTGGCATACTGTGGTCTGAAATATATGGCTCATATGGAGAGAATGCTAACTAAGTGCCAGAAATTTGATGCTGGACAGTTTGGCTATGCTACTATATCACCAACGTGCATGTGCGTTTGCACGTTCTTCTGACATAATTGTTCCAGGCATCAGTTTCCAGCTTGATAGCTTAGTCCTAACATGACAGCCAATAGTGAATTTTACTCAGAGAACTGCAGAATAAATCACTAAGTAGGATAGATTCTTGCATTAAATATATTACAACAGAGAGAGCAATCTGTGTGTATTAAGAAAGCCACTCACTGTGACTGTCGATCCATACTATCCACTCTGAGGGCCTCCCATCTCGAATTCAGCAAGGTCATCTGTTCTTGGATTTCATTTTCTTCCTCCTCTGAGAGGTTACCCTGGGCAATCAGCTGATTACCTGCTTGAAGCACATTGCCCACACTACTCTGATGTGCAGTTAATTCCATCATAAAAGCCTAGGTGGAAAAAAAGTTCCATCAATCAGATCAATATGATCTGTATTCATGGATAATTTAATAACAATATGGCTTTTGCATGCATGTCAGTAAATAGATAAATGTATGCCACAACAAAAATGAGCTTCAAGCTCTTCAGAGGCACAAGACAAAGAAATATTCTCAGCCATGGTTCAAAAAACTTTACCAAAATATAGTCCTGTATTTATAAAACAACAACTGCACAATTAGTTGCCTCTGACAGAGTATGCCTCAGGCTCTTGCTTTGTCAATGGCAGCCACAAACACTAAATGGCAAATTGCCTTTGAAGCTGACAACCAAAGCAAATATGACATTAATCACATAATTAGCCACTACATGCTTGTGTTTCTTTGCAAATAACAACTGTGTGGGTATGATCCACATCAGAATCATGCCAAGGACACAGCAGGTTCCCAAGATACACTGAAACCCTTCTTCTGAAACTACAGTTTTTCACAAGACGACAGCTTCTATTCATAAATGGCAGCATCCCTCCTGGGCCAAGGATGAACCCAGGCACAGTGTATGGCTCAAATTGGTAGAACAGGCTGGTCTCTACCCAAATAAAACCAACACTGTCGCTCCTGTATCACAACTACTATTTAAGTAAACTACAACAAACACAATTACAAATCATATGGCCATCATTCTGCCTCATATGGCCTTCAAAGTGAGTCTGTGATTCAGCCTGTGAAAAAGATTTTTACAAATGTGACTATGTAAGAGAGGTCTCAAGTATCTCTGTGTCTATGAATTATGACCGCACAAAAATAGGATATATCAAGTGGAAGCCAAAGTGGATTTCAAAAAACTTCTGATATTGGTTAACAGCTATAATTCATGTTGCAGTAAGTCAAATAATAACATTTTGTTTTTAACAAACATAACAAAATTATATTGACATGCTATTTTAATAGTCATCTCTTTTAATGGACATCCCAATATGCAACATATGTTCATATATTCTGAAATCTCCTTGTATGATTCCATAAATTCTGTTCTTAATGGAACACAGGATCTACTGGCACTGGAAATAGATTTATTAGCCTATATACAATATAATGGCGTATATCAGGCTTTGTGTAATGTTATACCCACATTCGATATAGATAGCTATAGGCATAGATATACTGTAGATAAATACAAGGAATGGCTGCCATTCAATGCACAGAAGTCTTTATAGTGTCACTGGAGATTCCTTACCACATATATAGAAACAGAACTTGACAAAAAATCAGTAAACAAAAATCAATATTTTATACTGTTATTCCATAAGTCAGTGATTCAACCATTAAAATAAATCAAAAAAAGAATCAAAACGAAAAATTAGTTCACATATCTCCAGGCACAGTGGATTTAACTCAATCCTTAAATAACCCATGATCTGTTATTTAATGTAAGACAACATAAAGAAAAAAATAGTTGTTCTGCAGTGAGAGTCTATGATTCACCAACTCAGGCTCATAAGTCACAAATCTGTAATTTGACAGGTGTCTTGTCACACAGAAAGGTTTTTGCATTTCAAGGCAGAAAGGCAGCAAAAGATAGGATCTTAATCAAAATCCTGTCAATCTATTGTTTTATTGCTGGCAGACAGAGCCCTGCTTAATGGGTCAACAGTTTTGCAGGTTTATCTAAAATCCACATGAAAACCAGAATACTCAATTAAATCTTTACAGTTTTAATATCCTGATTAAATCTGCATAAGCATATGAATAAAACAACAGTCCTAAAGGAGAGAAAAGCACTCTTTGTTTTTAGATAAGGAATAGATGTAGCAAAGAAGACTCTGTCTAAGGAGATGCAATCCCCCCTAATGTGAAAAGACGGCAAATCATGGGCTAAGACTGGTCCTGTTGGACATCTATGACTGCCATCCTCACCACCACCATTATTACTATTATTACAATGTGTATCATGGGGTCTCAAACTGGCCTACACATAAAATCAATCTGAATAGTTTAAAACAATTTAAAATAGGATGCCTGCCATAGATGCAGGTGAAATGTCAGGAGAGAATGCTTCTAGAACATGGCCATATAGCCCAAAAAACCTACAACAACCCAGTGATTCCAGCCATGAAAGCCTTTGACAATAAAATTTACAATAATTTTAACAGACTAAAAACATATTCAATTTAATAAATTGAAACAGCTTGAAATAGTTCAAAACCACACCACTGCACAATTTGCAGAAATCCAATTGGGTCCCAAAAGCTTTAACCTGATACCAAAATGAAGTCAACACATCATTAATTAGAGATACATTTTCTTTGTGTATTAGAATCTTGATTCCAAGATTACCCAAATATCTGATCCCTGAGGAAAATCATTCCTCTAGACCAACATTTTTCAAACTGTGCTCCTCCAGATGTTTTTGACTTCAACTCCCACAATCTGTAACAGCTGGCAAGCTGGCTGGGATTTCTGGGAGCTAAAGCCCAAAACACCTGGAGGAGCAGTTTGAGAAACACTGCTCTAGACAGCTATCTAAACTAAGGAGAAAAGGACCTTCTATCTATGCCTAATTAAATCAGAATTGAGAGGATAGATTGATTTAAAATTGATCAATAGACAGTGGTATATTAATGAAAACCGTACTGATCATCAACTACTCCGCCCTTCAACTTACTTCATGGGTAGCAAATTGTTCCTTGACTTCCTCAACATTGTCAGATATGCTTTCCTGCTCTTGGAACTCATCTTCAGCAGAGAGCAACCATGTGAGAACTTCTTCCAGAGCAACCTGGTAACTATCCAAATCCATATCCACTTCGGTTACGGTGCTGGGAGTTTCTGCTCTGGATCCCCCACAGTCCTCTTCTGACATGGAGCTCTGAAAAGAAGAAGAATCAAACCGAGGGCCACTTAGATAATTTGATCAAGCTGATGTTGTATCTATGGGGCAGGGAATGAAATGTATAATGAAATGAGTTACAGGCATTTATAAACACAAGAAAAACCTGCTGCCATATCAGATTTAGACTATTAAACACAAAAAAAACAGTTTTGCAAAGTGTCAAGAGAACTATGCTTTGGGTTAAAAAACTAGCTGTAAATCTTTAATTTGTTCACTCTTTAGTGAGAAGTGTTCTCACTTTATTAATTTACTTTATTTAATTATATTAATTTACAACATTATCAATTATTTAATTCTGGAATTAAGTTAGTGCTGGAACTCCAGTTTAAGTTGATCTCTTTAAGTTAAATATAAATTTCATTTAATTGCCTGTGAGTTAGAAAATTTACAAGTTAACTGACAATGTAATTGATCTCAATTAGTTACACCCAACCTCTCATTCAGAAATTAACTGAGAATAATGTGCTTGAAACATATAGATAATGAATGAAGAGCATAGAAGAAGAAATGGATCATGCCAAAGGAGGAAAGGCCTTCTCATGAAGAGGATAAATGGGAGCAAGTTTAAAGGAGGAACTAAAAGAACGGTGTCAGACTATACTGTTGTAGCACTCTAACTGTGGAATTCTGTAGTTTGTAGTTTAGAGAGGTCCATGAGCCCTTTGGCTGGGACTGCTAAATGCTCTCCTTAAACTGCAATCACTAGATTCCATACAATGTTGCCACAGCAGTCAAAGGGGAATATAGCACTATAACAGTTTAGTTTGAGAAGAAGCTAAGATGACCACAAATAATAGTTAATAGACAAAATTCATAGTGAAGTGGATTTCTCAGAAAAGGGAACAGCAGCAAGAAAACAAAGAACAAGAGCAAGAAGACAAAAGATTTGAACTGAAATTGTGAAAACGTGAACATAGATCTAAATGAAACCCTTGTGAATAAATGAGATAATTGAAGCACCATCAAATGAAATGTAAAAAGCAGTACAATAAGAAAATAATGTATCTTCCCCTTGAATGAGAGAAGGTAGACCCCAGTGACTATGCAAGTTTGTTTCCACCTCTTATTACTGAGTGAGTGTATCAATGATAAAGTGGAGCCCCCAGGTGACACAATGGATTAAACAGTTGCGCCGGCAGGACTGCTAACAGAAAGGTTGGCAGATCTAATTTGGGGAGTGGGGTGAGCTCCCATCTGTCAGGTCCAGCTTCTTGCACAGGGACATGAGAGAAGCCTCTCAGAGGATGGTAAAACATCCAGGCATCCCCGAGGCAACATCCTTGCAGACGGCCAATTCACTCACACCAGAAGTGACTTTCAGTTTCTCAAGTTGCAACTGACATGGAAAAAAAATGATAAAGTCAAATATGATCTACCAAAAGTGGCATTAAATTCCACTGACATAAAAGAGAGATAGAATTAATTAGAATATACTACCTGTATGTCCCCCTCTTCACATTCTTTTTTGTATTTCCTTGGCAGGGTCTCTACTTCATGAATATCTTCTATAGTAACTTGCTGAGGAAGGACCTCAAACAAGGAAGTCAAGTACATAATAATGGATTTCTTATCTGGAAGTTGTACAGCAATATCTGAAAACATAAATGACATGTTTAGTCGATACTATTCTGCTGCAGAGCTGGATCCCCTCTGACTTAAAACACCACATATTTGAGTTAAAATAGCAAGCAGCTTACTGAAGGTAATAAAAGCCAAAGCAATAAAAAGTAATCCACAGTAAAAGATAAATCCAATAGATTGGGGGGGGGGGGAGCAATTAGTCCAAAAAGAAATAGTCCAACAAAGTCCATGAAACCAGAGGCTTGATTATAAAAGCAATTAACAACAAAGGCACTTGAAACAGGAATCAAACAAAGACAAAGGTCCAGGAACTTGGCATGATGAATTTAACATGAATCCAACATTGCTTAGTCTGAAGCTAGATTCTGTACTTGGCATTGATATCCCTGCCATATTTCCCAAACAGCTAAGAATGGTTTTTTCCTTAACTTTGGTTTCACTTCTAACTTCTGCTGCAATCTGGCAGAGTACCGTAATTGCTGGTTTGTTTGTCTTTGCTGGCTAAAAATACTTCTTGTGTCCAAGGCTTCATTAAAATCTGCACCTGGAGATAACTGACCAGGGAACTGTGGAGCAGAGCCTTTCTCAGGCTCAAGATCTTGAGAATCCCCTTACAGCAATACAGGCCTCTCTAACTCATCATTTGAACTGCATTCAGGCCCCACATCTCTAACACCAGGCCCAGGAAACAGACCATCCTCCCCATTCCCTTCAGAAACATCTTCATGGACAGCATCCCCATTCCCATCAGAGGAATCAACTTGAATGTGAACAACATTGTCATTCCCATCATCCAAAGCAACCTGATCATTAGACACAATCACAGGCTGAACAGGCTGACATACAATATGTTCCAAGTTTTCAAGTTCAAATGATCTCTAGAATCAGAACATATTACTATATATTCTATTTATAATCCTTGATCTGGCTTCTTAATCAATCAATCAGTTGATTTCCCAAAATAATTCAACTTAACAAGTCACAATCCACTGAATAGAGCAATACTATTATTCTATACAATCTCTGCACTGTCATTAGATTAGACAAAGGAAAGCAAAAACTTTGCCATAACCAAAATAATTTTAAAACCATACATTACAAAACTACATAAATTATATTAAAGTATCTGAAATAAGAACCCTTTTTTGTTTGATCAGCATTAAATACTAAACATATGCACACATACATACATACATACATATACTATTCTTAGTTCCATAAACATATTGTACCTTCAGGGTCTAACAATTTTTCTATCCCCAGGTAATTTTGGGCTACGTTGAAGGCATGTTCTAGTCTTTCAATTGGGGTCATTTTGGTTACTTTTTCCCAGCCAAACAGCTCAGGTCTGTAAAGATGAAGAAACAAAAAGGAGAAGTTGCACATCAATTCACATTGTACACTGAGAACTTGAACATACTACATGAACAGAATTTTCAGAATTGCATGCATTGAATTTTCTATAAGGAAAGGAAGATTCACAACGAAAGGAAGTTGAGAACACATGTGCAAAAACTTCTGGAAGGAACGCAACTGTACATATCCAAAGGAGGTATAAATAACAACAATGTGATCAAGTGGGGAGGCTATAATGAAAGACAGTATGGTCTTAGGAGTCTTAGATAAACCCAGATGGGACAACCAGAGTTCAATTAAGCTGTTACTATTTTGTTACAGTTTGGAACTTAGTCATGGCTATATTTAAGCAGATTGCGACCAAAAATTCTTCTCTCCCCAGTCAACCTCCTGCACTCAAGACATCTTAACAAACAAAACAAAGCACAAAATCAGCCCACAACTCCGTTTAATATAACACTGAACTATAAAACGTTTAGTGTAAAAGGAATAAACCTTTTCAATTCATTCTAACCTTTATAATATAGAGAGGGAATGGGAGTGGGAAGATAAGATAAACTCATGAAAGTGTTTGTGTTTATCTTAGATTTAGCTAAAAGTATTGAATCTTCTTTATTTTTCCTCCCATATGAGCTTTTTAAAAAGTAGAAACAAAAGATACCCATTACTGGTTCTGGCTGATACTTACTGTTCAAAGCAGGAATCAATACATTTTTTTTAAAAAAAAACTCACTTTTTTTGAGCTGAAATACTGCAAGTGAGCTTTAAAGCTATAGGCAGTCTCCGAGTTATGAACATCTGCTTTACAAATGACTCATAGTTACAAATAGGGGTGAGACAAAAGCAAGTGAGAGAAATCTACCCTTTGAAAGGGAAATTCACTACTGGAAGAGTGATTATGTGAAAAGGTGTCTCCACTGAAGCTTTATCACACATCCTTGTTTCCACAACAAGCCAATTTTTTCAAAGTTCAGTTATCACAGGGACAGGTAGTGAGGTGAAATATTCTAAACTGGGGCACAGACAACAAAACTCTCTCTGTGTGTGTTTGTGTATGGCTGGAGTTACACTTTAAAAGTGTGTATTGCAAATACTTTTTAAAAAATCAATAACTAAGTTTTTAGTTTTTATGCTCTATAAAAATGATTGCACAGGCAGCTTTCTTTCATTCATCTTTGCATACTTCAATTTTTTATTTTTTAGATTACCACTTAACACTGAAACACATAACTGCCAGAATAAAGACAGTACAGATGTTTCTCTAACTTGAGAATATTTGAGCAAGCAACCACCTACTTGTGCCTATGGATCACAGCATTGAAGGCAAGCCCATCTGTCCAGCTTGTTGTAAAGTTCAAAACGTTGACCTCACTATAAGGCCTCGTGGACTGTCGCACCCAACTCAACAGGATTTTTTCACTGTTTGTTTGCTGCAGATCTGACATTATATCTTTCATGACATCTTTGACCTAAAAAAAAGTATATAAAAAGTCCTTCAAGTAAATTTACAAAGCAATGACATTCTAATATCAAAGCATAAAACTTGTGCCCAACTCTGCCAGCCTAGCTGATGGATCTGTGTATATCACATTCATTGTTCTCATCTTCTTATGCTTCCTATTTCTCCAACTCACTCTGTTTTAAAATCTTACAGCACATATTGTCATTATGCATTCTACAGCATTCCTTATGTGGTTCACAAATACAGTAATTGGAATCTTCAAGATTAAAAGATTTGCCCACTCCTGTTTCATTGTAAGCTTAATGAGTGTATCTTGCTACTCTGTACAATAGTGATTCCGCATAAAGGATAATGTTTGTCATAGAAACAAAAAATCCCACCCAAACCTACATATCTGTTATGGTAATTATTGCAACGATAGTGTACACATATTGCAATTCTCTTTGCCAACTCAAGAGCCTTAAAATTATGGACCTAACTTTGTGTGTGTATGTGTGCATCCATGCTAGTAAAGAGCTCCAGTTTTAGCAAGACTGCTTAATAATATTACCAGAACAAAGCACGGCATTTTCACAGCAGGAGATATGTTTAGCTTAGGGTAGCATTGTAACAATAAAAGTCATGCTTGAGATACCATGGTACAGCTCAAAGGAACATCTGGTATTTACATTCATATAAAATTAATGGACAATGCCTAGGAATTAAGATGAGCACACCCACAAGCATGATTGGAAATGTAACACGAGAATCAAGAAACATTTCTAATCTAATTGTTATGTATACACCTCAGATAGATGGCCCCTTGTGCAATACAAGGCAGACAATACACATATTTTAAACACACACACATTAAGTCAATACCCGTATGTCTGCGAACATACCATTAACTGGTTCATATATAAACTTATTTATTGTTATAACAAAGGCAGACATGACCCTTGGGCTCACAAGTGACATATTCCCCACTTCTTTAGTGTGTGAATGGAGAAAATGCAAAGCTTAAAAGGGGCAGTTTGAACAAACTAAGGCTTCATGCAATGTATGAATGCATAAAGATTTGGTTTTCTTAAACGGGAGATGGGAATCATAAAAAGGTAAAGGTAGTCCCCTGACATTAAGTCCAGTCATGCCTGACTCTGGGGTGTGGTGCTCATCTCCATTTCTAAGCCGAAGAGCCAGCGTTGTCCATAGACACCTCCAAGGTCATGTGGCCGGCATGACCGTATGGAGCGCCATTACCTTCTCGCCGGAGCGGTACCTATTGATCTACTCACATTTGCATGTTTTTGAACTGCTAGGTTGGCAGAAGCTAGGGCTGACAGTGGAAGCTCACGCCACTCCCCGAAATTGAACCTGCGACCTTTCGATCAACAAGCTCAGCAGCTCAGTGCTTTAACCCACTGCGCCACCGGGGGCTCCGGGAATCATATAGCACTCCAAATATTTTGGACTTCAACTCCACAGTTGGATTACAGAGGCTAGGACTAATGGAACATACAGTCCAACAATATGAGGAGGGCTGCATAATTCACACCCCTGACTTCAACTACCATTATTTCACAAAACAGGATACTCTCAGTTTTATTCAAGTCAACTGATTATAATTTGAACAAAGTTACTGTTTTCTGAATGTTGATATAACATTCAGAAAGTTTCTTCAAAATGATGAGTGGAAGTTTCAAAATTTTGACTCCTGTGCAAAAAGACATGGTAAGTGGAACTGGGAGCACATAAACATAAGTTTTGTATCCATTTGTGCTCAAATATTAAGCCATATAATTTAGCAAAATACTTGAACGGGCTCTATTAAACTTCACTGGAAACTCTTCACACATTCTTCTGGTTGCTGCCAAGTTCCCAAAGTTTTAGTATCCATTAGTCAGTTGTCATGGAAAGGTTGCACCCCTTGTCTTCGTAACTAAAGATAGGGTAAGATATGTTGTAGTACAAATTTAACAATAGAAAAGAGCACCAAATCTGCTCACCTGCCAATGCAAAATTATGCTCCATAACAATCCAAGAGTCAGTTTGTGATTTCCATCAACAATGTCAGTCCCTCCTATGTTTACAAGCTCCACCTGAAAATATTGATTCAAAGTCAAACATCAAATAACATTCTCTCTCTTAAATTGATCTATTTCTAATCTGGAGTGAAACAGTATATAACTTGATTTTAGCCTGCCTCCAAAATGTGTGGGCACAAAAGCAGTCATTAAATTTATACTTTTAAATATAATTATTTCAAGCACTTTTACTGCATTCCACAACCAAATGGGTTCCCAGAGCAGCTTATGTATTGTCAACAGATACAGATTTATATCCACAAGTTCACTATCTGAATGGCTTGATACAGAAGGAAATAGAGATAGGCACATGTTTTAACATTAGACATTTATATCAGGGGCGGGGAACTTTTTTCTGCTATGGGCCTTTTGTACAGATATAACATCATTCATGGGCTACACCTTTATCTTTTCTTTTTATTTACATATTCTAAACGTATTACCTATTTTATTTGCCTACTCTTAAATTATAAAATTATATATTGAATTTTGGTCAACCTTAAAATCTGGGTGAACTTATTCATAGATCAAAGTGAGCAATGTATATTAACACTGATCAAAAAAGGAACCATCCCCTTCTCTGAGTGAAGTGGAAAAATCAAGAGTGTAATCCATCCTGGGAGAACCTTTAAAAAGCACCAGCCCCCTCTATCTCTATGCCATGGTACTGCTTCTAGCTTTCTGAATGCCTGGCTAGTGGTAGCATCCAGGGGTAAGTTGCTCCCCAAGGTGACATGGGTGATATCCCCTCTCTGTGGAATAGCCTTCATAATCATACTCCATAACTTTAGACCCAAAAGTTGCCCTTGACTTATCCAACTCCACTGATAGATTCATGTACATGGGAATTTGAATAACTAACAGGAATAAACCACATTAAGTGTTAACATTTTTTAAAAAGTTGTCAGCACAAAAAGTCAAGAGTGTGTCTTTTTCAAAACATTTAAAGAAAACCAGAGGTGTGCATAATTCCCAGCAGCGACCTCTTCCTGTTAAACAGGAGTGGAGACCCTGTGGCCCCCTGACTAAACCTATGTGGGCTGAGATGTCCCTTGCACTGGTCAGCATCAAAGAGGATAAATACTGTTTTCAGAGTTCCAGTGTTCCATGGAGTGGTCTTTTCCACTTGCTTGGCTATTCTCCAGAGCAGCACAGTAAAACAACTCCGCAATATTTTGCAAAACAAAGGAACAGGCCAAATCTTCAATAGCAGGAATAAGGAGAGGACTCAAACCATTAACCCATTCAGAATTAAGGCAGGGAGTTTTGTTCTCAGTCTGAACTGACTCAGTTACATTCTATCTAATTCAAGCAATTAATGGCTGTATTATAGCATTGTATTAATATGTTCACAAGACGAACCAGATTCCCTAATATTCTGTCTAAGCAACTGGTGTTTCTTTTCTGTTTGTTTGTTTGTTTGAAAATAGTGCCAATTACAAAAAAATCTGCAAAAAGGGAAGAGGGTTGTACTGGCTAGAAATAAATAAAAACTTTAGGGCTATGAAGTTCCCTTTTTACAGCACCAACAATGACAATTTTAATAGAAAATACTGATATGGCTTTATTCAGGCTAATAATTTTCAAAGTTTTTGCTGTAACCACAATTCTGTAGCTTTCAACAACAAAGAAATAAAGAAGCATGGCTTCTCCTCCCCCATTTATTATAATAACAAAGCTCATAATAGTGCTGAGACTCTAATATAAATCATCTGCTGGAACTTTACAACCTTTAGCATTTTATGTTCCAACTCATTTATAAACTAACGTTTTTGCCGGCTCAACAAAGGATAATCATATGGTAGCTTACATTTAAATCTGCTAACTTTTGCAAAAGTCAAATTAATTTGTGGAGCAAAATAGCCCTTTACCCAAAGGAGTTTATCACACGAGGCAGGCAAACCACTATTACAGCAACACAATAATGCCTTTGCCTTGGATCTATTACTTGACATTGTTCCTTTTCCACCACTCTCTTCTCCTAATGGGAAACAGCCTGGAAAGCAATTATTTTACAAACACAAATAATCCATTAATGACCTCCTTTTGTAAAAGAAATACCTTTCAGGGTTTCCCACCAGGAGCGCAACGGGAAATAAGTGATATTATGTAATACGTTCAAGGCAAAGACACTGTTGTCTTGCTGTAAATGAGATTTCCCTGCCTCATGGGATAAACTCTGAAGCAAAGCAAAAATTGGATAATGCTCTGTTCAAGTAAGGGAGATGATGGTTTCTCCAACTACAAAGTCTCTCTCCAACTTCAGTCAATATATCACATCCCTCAGCATACTCAAAGGTCCCTGGATGAAATTGCAGATGTGTGGCAGGTGAGGAGATCCAAAGATAGAGTAGACAGCAAGGCTTTGTTCTATAAACTTGTTTTACCCTGTTACTAAAAGTTCACATCAAAACGTACCAATGTTTGCACACATCAGACAGCAAAAAAAAAAAATCAAACATGATACCACATTGAGCAGCAAACGGACCTTGTAACAATTTGACTCAACCTCTCAAATAAACAATCTATTATGGCTTCAGAAATTCAAAAATAAGAAATACAAGTTTGCTTTCTAAGGTAAAAACTATAATTATAAATTAAATATCAGCATACATAATCTGCTAGGGAAACTTAGCGACAGTTTATGACACTCTCTCACTCCAACCAGAAACACACCAAGATTTGTTTAAGACTGCAGTCAAATTGGCAAGATGACAAATTTGGATTCATACTTACTTTTTCCTCTCCATTTTCAAGGGCAGAGAACACTTAGGCAAAACATTTCAGAAACTTACATTGTTCTGATGTAAAACTTGAAGCACTTTGTTGACATTATTCAAGGCATGGACTCTTGTCGATCCGCGTTCTTTCAGCTTTAAAAACAAACAATTTTAAATTTTAGAGAAAATTTAAAACACAACCTTTTGCAGCTAACATTTTATGGATAGTAAAAGCAAAACCAGCATTTCTGGATACATATTCTAGATCTAGCAAAATAGTTAACTTTGTAGCTGAGCCAAAATATTACGTGCTGTACATTACTACAGAAACCTAAGCTAGTTACTTTTTATAGGAACGGCAGAACCAAACATATACTGGCCACATTTCGAAGCTGGACAATTAAAATGCAGTGCCATAATCTTCAGATTCACATATTCTCCCATCTCTTTCCTCTTCCACATTCAATCAATGGCAATAAAAGCCCAAAGTTGTATGATTTTCATTTGAGATAGCAGAGTAGAAAGTACAGTTAGGGATAGGCACAGATAAAATTATGCAATAGTTTCTGTATTTGGTCAGAATATGTCCATATCAATCATAATTATATATACTACCATGCACGATTAATTTCAGTCCCACCTGCTCTGTTCTTGATCCCTCCCTGAACTTACTGTTGAAATTAAACACTTGAACTCAAACAAGGGTTCTCCACCCTAAAACCATGGGAATCTGTGGTTTGAGCACATTATAGGTATATGATTTACTCAAATAATTGGATGGATCGCCTTAGCTGTAAATTAACTGTGGCTTGAACAAGCCATTACACAGCACATGGCATTTGAATACTTCAGTCCTTTTCTTTACACACGAAAGATCAAAAAGTGAGGATAAAGTATATTCTAGAAGCAACGAACAGTAATTTACTTTAATGTCTGAATGGCACCATATCCCCACTATGAGATACTATTTAGGACCTGCCCTAAAGACATTCACACACACAGTATGTAAAGTATTTCACCAAACTATTATTTTCTATTTCACAAATTAACTTAAACAAAAATGTATAAACTGTTGTTAAAATATGAAATGGGGGAAGAACAAGTTACCATTAATATTAGCATTATCTAACTGCATGATACAGCCTACAGGGTCTATTTTTTAAACAGAGTTTTGTTTTGTATTTCAAAGGCACCACCAATGTTTGGCACTAAGAACCTAATCAAGCCATGGGAAACAAAAAAAAAGAAATGTCACTGTATTTCCTGCTATGGGCTCATCAATCCATCAAAGTTACAGTGGTCCAATCTGAGTAAAGTATTAGGAAACTTAAAGCTAACTCTAGTTAGCAGGATTAAACCTGCAATATATTTCATCCCTTTACTGAAAAAGTGCATTATAAAATCTATCAAAAGAAAAGTACATAGCTGGTCTAGCATAATTGGGCTGATCAGAAAACTAGCTCAATCACCTGATACAACTGCAAAGTTATAAGCTGATAATGATTCAGAGATCATAAAGCTTCCCAAAGATGAGGGAGAAATTCCAGTTCTGAAGAAGAATGTAAGCACCTATAGGGGTAAGTTTGAGTGTGTTCATTCAACTGCTGTAAAACCTGAACTGCATATTTTTTTTAAACAAGATCATTATACTGCTGTCCCAATCCATAACGCATTTTAGGTTGACTTCCAAAAGATGCTTTGCTTACCAGTGGATTCCCTGTCAGTCCCTCTAAAAGATCCAAAAGCCTCCTGCCATCTCTGAGATCTGTGAATATATCCTTTATTGGCAGTTTTCCACACTATAAAACAAGATCAAAGTTTTAGAAACATAACAAAATGCAAAACAAGAAAAAATACGAAGGACAGCATCGATACCTTGATGTAACTGTTTAATTTAGTTTTTCACAGAAAAAAGAATGCCAGATATTGATCAATTTCTAGCACAGATTTCTTTTGATGGATTACAGATTTCTACACCCCCCACATTTATCAGTACAGTTTTACAGAAATAACCTGATTTTTAAATAAGCCACAAACAGATCAAGGCAAAGCCAATTGCTATGCGTCTAATAGAGTGCCTCAACAGCAAATGCAGTCAAGCTTCAAACAGTATATTAAAAATTAAACAGTACAGCTACCTAAAAACAGAGGCAGGTTCTTTATTTCTATCTGCTCCATTTGTAATTGTGGGAAAGTGTAAAAAGAAACAAGAATTCCTTTTACCTTCTGTGTTTCAGTCCAAAGAATTGTTTGTAAGGTTACAAATAAGCCAGATATGTACTTACTTACACTCCATCTCCTTTGTACAGTTCCCATATTCATTCTTTTTTTAGTTTTAATGCTTTACAGTTCTAAACAAGAGGTATGTAAGAGTAGCCTACAAACTTCCAATGGCCCCAAAGAGTCATCCTTGGATTAAAACATTTTCCAGGAAACATTAAGGACAAAAAATGATCCAAAAAGTCCTTTAGAGAGTGAAGAGGGCATTTCTACCATATTTGGAAGCAGGAGCTAATGTGTCCCCTACCCTTCACAGTTTCCTACAGCTGATCTACAACAGCTGACCCATGTGAAAACTTAAAAGCACGAAAACAGCAAAAGGGTGTCCCCACACTGTAGAATTAATGCAGTTTGACACAACTTTAACTGTCATGGCTCAGTACTATGGAATCATGGGAGCTGTAGTTCTGCAAAGTAGTCTTCTCTACAAAAAATAAGTTCTGGTGTCTCACCAAACTACAAATCCCATGGTTCCACAAAATTGAGATTAAAAATGATGCCAAACTGCTTTAATTCAATAGTTTACATGTATTCAGAGGCTATGCCAACAGATAGACATAGAGAAATATGTGAGAGGAAGTCATAGGGAGGAGGGAGCAAGCTCGTTTTATGCTACCCTGGAGACTAGTAGGATGGGGAACAATGGCTTCAAAGTACAGAAAATGAGATTCCATCTGAACATTAGGAAGAACTTCCTAACCGCGAGAGTGTGGTGGAGGCTCCTTCTTTGGAGGCTTTTAAACAAAGGTTGGATAGTCATCTGCAACGGGTGCTTTGAATGTGGTTTTCCTGCTTTTTGGCAGGGGGGTTGGTTGGACTAGATGGCCCACAGGGTCTTTTTCAACTTTATGATTCTATGAACTGTCTTGTTCTTGGCCTTTGTATATTTAAATGTGCTACAGGAAAGTTCTGATAGCATTTAGTATTTTATATAGTTTATAATGGCTTGCAAGCCAGCTTAGAAGGGTATCAATATTACAAAGGAATAAACAAAGAAAAAAGCAAAAGTTGGCATGGCTGGAAGACTAATAAACTAGTATTATACTAAGTCTTCTCTATTCATGATTTCTGGGTTTGCTGTGAAAAGAATGGGGACCACAATCATAAATATGAAGAAAGCTCCACATAAAATGAAGGGGACACCTATAAATTAACAGATCATTGACATTCTGTGGAGGACAGATAGTATTTCAGAGCCTGGTAATACACATTGCTCGTGTTTGGATGAAAACCTATAACTTAACTCTCTTTTCTTCCACCATAGCCAAAACGAAAATCGAAGATTTCATGTCTATTTATAACTACAGTTTGGTGTTACACCCAAACCTGGGTGTTTTGTTATTGGTTTACTGGGGAAGGTTAGCAAATGGCTAGGATAAAAGTGCATCAATAGCTTTAAACCAGCAAAAATTAAATGTTCCACATTTTATACCCCCATTTGTAGTCCTCAGCTTTGTTCACAAAATAGGAATAAGTAACATTCATTGTTACAACATAGCAAATGTCATGGCCCTGTTCCTTAAGATCACACAAAAAGTAAGGGTAGAGATGAGAAAAGCCTGGAATATATCTTATGTCTTTAAAACTGAGCTTAATATGATCCATGAAATAAAGAGTCACTTCATCCCTTACTAAGACTCAAATTCAGTATCTCACTATGTAACCTTCTTGACCCACTCTCGCCAAAAGAAACAAGATGAGAGAAACCAGTTGAAAATGACTAAATAATATTAATTTAGCATCAAGACTGTTGTTATTTACTGTTGAAGAATCTTAGCTAAACAACCCTAATATAAAGGCCGGAAATTAGTTTTGGGTTCATATTGCATAACAAGAATCATGTACTTTGATATTTGTGTCAAGATTTTCCATATCATGTGCTCACAACGTGGGAATTTGATCTGAGAAACTATTCAGGAAAGAGAAAGGTCACTACGCAAGGCACTTTTTGGGAAGCAAAACACAGCATATTTGGCCAGTATCTAAATTTAAAATTCCCAGTTTGTTTAAAAATATTTTATTTTGGGTTTTTTTCTATTGCTATTTCTGTTTTAAGGAAACAACGAAGTGCATATTATTCCTTTGTGGGCAATTGGTCTACTGCAAGCCCCACGTCTAAAAAATAGCTTAGTCTATTTAGTTATTTTTATAAGCAGTAAACAACAAAAAGTGTGTGTTAGTTTGAGGGAAGAATAAGAGAAAAAATGAGGTTAGTTTGAGGGAAGAATAAGAGAAAATTCTTTAGAAACAAAGCTTTAAAAGTAATTATAGGTCCAATTTCTCAATTATCTAAAAAGGTTAATTACTAAGGTATAAGTCTGTCTGTTACTCCCAACAAGAATAAACTTACTGAATTATGAAAATTTGGTAATACATTCTATTAATTCAATCAGTATATTATAGGTGGGAGTAACAACTGGATGTTGGTAGCAATATTTAGTACAAAATGTGGTGGCAATACAGAGTAGGGGACAAACCTAATCTTCCATGGTGAAACCCCAGTATCTTCCATAATGCATTTCTCTTCTCATAATGAAACAAACAAGAGTGAAGCACCGGTGATTTGAGTGATAAAGACCAAGGTTCAAATTCCCACTAAGCCATGAAAATCCACTGGGTGACCCTGGGCAAGTCACTCTCTCTCAGACTCAGAAAAATTGGTTTACCACTGTGGGAACATGGAATGCTGTGTATTAGATCAACCTTTGGTCTGATGAAACAAGGCTCTTCTTATGTTCTCAGAGTAGAAAAGAGTCTTTCAGAAACAAGCAAATCGTCCTCCTGTTCCCCGCCTCTGCACACTGTTATGTTTTCAAATAAGATTGTTGTTGCATGCCCTGAAGTCATTTCTGGCTAATAGTGACCCTAAGATGAACCTATCACAAGCTTTTCTTAGCAGAATTTGTTGAGAGCAGTTTTGCTCTTGCCTTCCTCTGTGGCTCAGAGATTGTGACTTCTCCAAAATCATCAAGTGGGATTCTATGGATGAGGGGGCCTCATGATGTCTCTCTCTAAAGAAGACACCAAATGGCAAACAACATCAGTTAGAGTCTCCACACATGGAATCTATGGATTTTGAAAATAGTATACCAATGTCTAAAAAAAGAGTGGCTGAATCCTAAATATAGAGCTCCAAGCAATGACAGTCTTTCATCTCCTTTCTGTTCTTTCTGTTCTCTGTCTTTCTCCGAAACTGCATTTCCCAGCTTCCATCTCCATTCAAATCATGCTGGCTTCAAAACTGCTTTTGTAAAATAACTGCAGGATTATTTACTTATTTATTTGAATTCTGCCTACAATCACTGCTTCTCATTTGCCTCTGTATATAGAACTGGCTTCTCCTAAAGACTAAGCTCAGGAACAGAAATGCAAGACGGGAGAGGAAGAGTAGAGGACGAGGCCGGCAGCTCTCATCTGGGCCTGGTAGGCCCCACTGCTCCGCCCGCCCTCCTCCCGCCGATCAGGGGGAGGAGGAGAAGAGGACGAGGCCGGCAGCTCCCCTCCGGACCTGGTAGGCCTCACCGACCTGAGTTGGGCCCTGGCCGCCTGGGCCTTTACCATCTTTTATCATCTGGGCCTTCACCATCTGGGCAAGCCGCGTGTAGACCTTTTGTGCCGACCTTTTCTGTGTGGACCGATATTGTGTAGACCTTTTGTGCTGACCTTTCTCTGTGCTGACCGACATTGTGATAGACCTATTGTGCTGACCACCGCCGTGTTGACCATCTCCGGAAGACTGAGAGACTCATTCGCTACTTTACATCAGCCGTCTATAGATTACACTTTGAATCATAACTTGTCCAAACTGATATCACTGCCAATCTCCTTAATACTGTGTTTATTTATAGCTAACATAGCACGTTCCTTGTCTACCTTGCTGCTAATTGTCTACCTTGCTGCTAACTGGTACTAAGAATGCAATATAGCACCTTAAAGCGCCTGCCTCTTTTGCTGCTAAAACGTATTAGCACTTACGCTCCCTTCCCCTATCCCTCCATGCCGCACTTTATATAGCGCTGAGGACCAGATCTGGGTATTTATCACACCTTAAGAGCTTGCACTTTTTGAATTGCCCTAGTGGCACGCGGCGGTGACGCCTACTGTGTTGCACTTTAAGACGCTTGCACTTTATGAACTATCGAACTATCGCGGCTGAGACGCTTTGTCATTTTCAATCTTATTGAAGTGTACTATTATTACCCATGTGGTTCCCCACTCCCCTATTTGTATTGTCCTTGATATTGGTAACTAGTGGAAGGGGCAAGGGAGGAAAGTGGGCTGGAGCCTGTGGACAGCAATGAGGTGGGGAGGGGGGAGGAAGGGATTCAAGGGAGCTGGCAAGAAAAAACGCCAACAAACCAGCCAACTAGTGAAACAGAAAATAAGACCTTGGTTTTGGACTGCGGCATGGAGGAGGGGAGGTGTTCCATTGGCCGGGGAGCTCCCATAGAGGTCGTGGTGGGGAGGAGGAGATGCGGAAAAAGGAGACCCCAAATTCGGCCTAATTCGGACCGCTTAT